TCCCCCCCCAACGTCCCTGGTCGTCGGGTGTAGTAATAGGCTCAGGCGCTAGTACCAACAACAGGCCGGAGGAGCGTGGAGAGATGAGGACTGGGGTGGGTGGGGGGAAAAAGAAGAAGACTCGTTTCACTGACCGTGTTTACATGCCCAGGTCTCCTCGCCGCTTTACTTCCTCGTGTACCTATATGATGTTTGGCTTTCATTATTATTTTTCGCTCCTGTGATATTTTTCGTCATTGGTCATTCTGTTTTATCTTCTATATATTTTTTTTTCTTCTCCCCCAGGGTGTTATTTGTTTTAATTTTGTTGTTGTTGATAGATTGTATTTGTGATGATTAGAGTTATGTTTATGTGTGGTTTTATTTGTTATTTTCCTTTTGATAATTTTTATAGTTAGTTTTTTTTTTTATTTAGTCATCTTTCGCTTTTTTATTGGTTCTGTATTTTATTCTTTCTCTCTCTGTTTCTCTTCTCACTTATTTTTCTCTTCTTATTCCATCTTTTCTCTCTCTCACTCTCCTTCCTCTCTCTCTCTCTCTCTCTCTCTCCTTCCCTTACTTATCCCTGTCTCTCATCCCCTCTCCCCTCAGTCTCTCCCCTCTCACATCAGCCTCTCCCCTCTCACTGCCACATCCAACATTAACAAGACTTTTAGCAGATAATGGAGACCAGACACATGAATCTCCATAAGAAATTAAATGGTTAAAGGAAATCGACTTTCGCTCTAATGCAGGAAAGATTGAGTGCTTGAGTGTTTTTGTCGAGCTCACACACACACACACACACACACACACACACACACACACACACACACACACACACACACCTCTCTCTCTCTCTCTCTCTCTCTCTGTCCTTTTCCATCTATATAAGTCCTGTCCTCCTCCCCTCCCTTTCCTCCATCTCTCCCCTTTTCCTATCCTTACCCCCCCCACCACCTAACTACAGGTAGGCGTGCTGGGCCAGAGTGTCATAGTAGGACCCCGTGTCGGGATTTTCAATATTCCAGCACACACTCTACCACAATCAACGACAGTCCTCTCCCGCCCACCCACCACCCCTCTCACAGCCCACCCATCCTGCTCCACCCACTATCCTGCCTCCACCCACCTCCACTCTCTAACCCCACATTTCCTTCCCCTTCCCTTCCCCAATCCTACACTTCATCTTCACCCCCCACCCACCTATCCACCCCTTTCCCTCAACACTGCTTCTTCTCTTTCTTTCTCTCCTCTCTCTCTCTCTCTCTCTCTCTCTCTCTCTCTCTCTCTCTCTCTCTCTCTCTCTCTCTCTTTCCTTGTTATTTTTTTTCGTCATTTAGATCTTAATATTTTTATGAGCTTTTATTCAGCGTGTTAGTCCACCTGGAACTGACGTATTGTGTTCCATTTAGGTCAATTGACATAGGGACGACTGAACAAACAGTGGGCAGACTTGGAAATATGCCTTTAACCCCGCCCTTCTCCCCCATCTCACCCTCTTACCCTCACCCCCCACCCCCCCCTCCCCCCCCACCCCCCACCCCTCACCCCACCAAACCCGTCACTCCATCAAAATAATCGCATCGAAATGAAATCCGCACGAGGCAGTCTATGAGCTTCACATCCCAGGTCATTAATATAGAGATGGGAAGAAGAAGAAGAAGAAGAAGAAGGAGAGATTTAAGTGTCTACGTAACACAAGCGGTTGAACCTCCAACAACTCCTCTTCCATTCCTCACCTCTTCCCCAGGCTTCTTCAATCCCCATTACACCCCCACCCTCATGTTCCACCCTCACACACACACACACACCCGTATTGGCTCCCCCCCACCAAACATTCCCCTACCCCTTCCTCTACCCCCTCCCCACCAACTCATTGTGTTGTCGTTAGGGATCATTCTCACATTTATCTCTTCATTAATTTCAGCCTAACACGCCCTCTTCTGTTGTCTCCTCACATGAAACAAAGCATTTACGCCACTCTGTATAACTAATCTTGCCAAGCGGTTCACACACTCACTCATATATATATATACTGTATATATGGAGAGACAATTGCTTAATGGGATTTTTTTTATTTTTTTATTCCAGGTAAATGAACATAATTCAGACTAAATAGATGGATAACGTCATTGCAAAATTCACTAACTTAACTTTATTTATATATAATTTGTTTATGTTATGATTCAAACGACGTCTTAAAAGAGAGCAAATTTTATCTTACAGGAAGTAATTTACACCAACTTATTGCAATAAAAACAGAATGTTGCTCTTACTTGGCAAATATGTTTGAGGCGTTTTAAGGGTTAATCCAATGATTTTCCCTGTTTAGCGTCATATATATACAGTATATAACCTCACTCAAGTTTAATTTTCTCATAAGGAATGTACTTTTCTTTTTGTTCAATTGTTACTTAACACATTCCATGATCAGTTGTTGGTCAGAGCTGCTCACATAATTCTCTCTGTTCTGTTGGTGAAAGATTCTTATTATTTTCACTAACAACCTTTATATTTGGCTTGTGTCTGCCTCGCCTCGCCTCTCGACACACCTGGTAAAACATGATCACCGAGATTTACCTGAGTTTGCACTGTTGGTTCTTATACGTTTCTTTATTTAATTTATCCCTAAACGTCTTGTGTGTGCGTGCGTGTGTATGTGTGGGTGCGTGCATATGTGTGTGTGTGTGTGTGTGTGTGTGTGTGGGTGCGTGCATATGTGTGTGTGTGTGTGTGTGTGTGTACTCCATGACATCCAAATCACGAGGATGGCCACGCAGGTTGTGGTGGTGGGAGCTACACCTGTGCACCAAACAGATGTTCTACCTGCCACGGCGTGTGTGTGTGTGTGTGTGTGTGTTTCCCTGTTCCTTACACACACACACACACACACACACACACACACACACGCACACACACACACACACACACTCACACTGTGTATGTAACGACAGATGTTCTTTATCCTCTTTCAGGTGACAGATGTTTCTCTCTCTATATTGCCTACACGTGTTCCTCTCCCTCATTATTATTATTATTATTGATTCTATTTATTTTATGTTAATTCATTATTAGTTTCCTGTTCGGTTATTAATTTTGCTTTTATTTATTCACTTTTCATTTTATTCTTTTCTCCTTTATAGATATTTTTTCTTTGCTTTTCCTTATTATTATTTTTTTTTACCCATCGTATTGAGAACTCTTCCAAATTTTCTTATTCTTCCTATGTAAATAATAAAAAAAATGAGGAAGTAAAGCAAGTGAAAAATATTATTGCGTTGGTTAGAATAAAGGAAGAAGATAGAATAAGATATAAAAGAATAAAAAAAAAAAATATAATGTTATTTGTTACGTAGAGGCGAAATAATGTAATAAGGTTGTATCTGATATGATGTGAATAAGGGAGATGAGAAAAAATACGATAATTTAAGGTAATAGAAACGGATAAATAGCTGCGTTAAAGAAAGGATTGCAAAGAAGTGTAAAAGATGACCCCAGTGATATACAAACGTAGCGTGAAAGGTGAAGATGTAATGAAAGAACTTAAAAGCTGTAACAAATTAAAAAAAAAAATTGCGGTTACCTTAACTAATAAAATGTTCGAAAGGTGTGGGAACAAAACAAAAGTACGAGAGGGAACAGAAACAAAAACAACATACATATTATTTCTATTGTGTGGTAATAGGAGGGGGGGGGGTGAGGTAGTTACCCCCCCCCCAAAAAAAATATAGGGAAAATAAAAAAGGAACATGGAATTTAATATGCCATTATTTTGTATTTGCAGATTGACAGAAGGCTTTTGACTGTTGGTCCACGAGGACTCAGTGGTAATAGTCAAATAAGTATGGAATTCACATTGACCTATCACAGCCTGTTAAAAGCATGTGTAGACTACGATTCATATGTTGATATTTATTCATTTTTTTTGTTTGTTTGTTGTTGTTGTTGTTGTTGGCAAGTTAACAGACAATGCGACTATGACTCGTTGTTGGTGAAATGAATGGAGGATGTGGGTTGGTGAGTTTACCTATGACGTAAAATGTGTTGATTGGTTCGTTCTCCTGTGACGTAGAGAGGATGTGTTGATTGGTTCGTACTCCTGTGACGTAGAGAGGATGTGTTGATTGCTGTGACTCGTGTGTGTGTGTGTGTGTGTGTGTGTGTGTGTGTGTGTGTGTATATATGAATGTATGTGTTTGTGTATGCGAAAAAAATAACATTTAAGTATCATTAACTAAATTAAATACATTTCACCTGGATGATTTAACCCCATAAAAAGATATACACAGATAACGACTAAAGATTAGGAATTAAAAAAAAAAAAAAAAAAAAAAACTCCGAAACTCAACCTAAAATATGATGAAAAGTCCAACACAAAAAGAAGAAGACTTTGTGAGGTGGAACAGGTGGGCAAACTGACAGGTGTGCCTTCTGATTTAAGTATACCTTCTGATTTATACACCAACACCTGTAACTCCTTTCTCTCTGACTCACTCTCAAGAGATTTCAGATGACAGGTGGTAAATATCTGCAGGTATATATTCTTCCAGTATTATATCATGTGTATATATATATATCAGGTATCTCTGTTAGTCTTCTATAAGAGATGGTATATCGGAACTGCCTCTCCTGATAATGGGGGATGTCTCTTTTATGGTATATAACATGTGTAGGGGTGGTATGTCTGTATGTCTGCCCCCACCGTGTGTAAGGGTCTTTCTCTTTAGTAAGCTCATAATAACCTATGTCTCTCTCTACTAAAGACATATTTATACACTTGGATATCTCTCTGGTAGGTCTCTTCTTTGTCTCTTTACATTTCTCCCAGTCCATTCTGTCTCTTACTTAACCAGATACACTAATCTATGCCTCTCTGATGTCTCTCCCAGTTCAATATGTCTGCCTCCTGACCACATATGCCAACCCATGTCTCTTAAATGTCTCCCTCCTGACCACATATACCAACCCATGTCTCTCTTATGTCTCTCCCCCTACTGACCTGGCTTGTCTCTCGGCAGACTATTCGGAACGACGGGTCACTGCGCCGCCTGCAACAAGGTCATCCCTGCCTTCGAGATGGTGATGAGAGCGAAGACCAATGTATACCACCTGGAGTGTTTCGCCTGCCAACAGTGTAACCACAGGTGGGTGTCCTTCATGTGTAGTGGGTGTAGATGGCGGTCTGCTATAACTGGGTGTAGGTGGGGGTCCGCTATAACTGGGTGTAGGTGGGGGTCCGCTATAACTGGGTGTGGGTGGGATCCGCTGAAACAAGGTGTAGATGGATCTGCCGTAACTGTTATAATACATCTGGGTGTAGGTGTTCCTGTGTATTATATCTTCGGTATATTGGGTGTAGATGGGACCCTTACCTTGTATATTGGTTGCGATGGTATGTATGATTGTTCTCTTAGGTGTAGAGGGTGTAAGGTATGACACAAATAGGTTCCCAGGCCTCCTTCCGTGTGTATCTCGACTGTACCGGGTGTAGATTGGCCTCTTGGGTGTAGGTACAGTGTGTGTGTGTGTGTTGGTGCGTGACTCCTTGATATAAATTTGCTACCGTGTGTTTCTCATTACCTCCTGTGACACCAGGTGGCTTGGGCGGTGTCGATAATTGTAGGTGTAAGGACAGGTGTTTGTTAGAGGCACGATGAGGCAGGTGTTGGGTTGAGGAAGAGATTGTGTTGTTGTTGTTATTATACAGTATTGAGGTGAGTTAGTGCTCAGACTTTGATCTTTTTTTTAATTTCATTTTAGACTATAAAATCTTTCCCTCCCACCAATGGTAAAAACCCTCACTCACTCACTCATTCACTCACTCACTCACTCACATACAGTTCCTCTTCCCATATTGAAGTAAACACACACACACACACACACACACACACACACACACACACACACACACACACACACACACACACACACACACACACTTGAGCTTCCTGGAGTAGTGTTCCAATTTTCTCCCGTACAAATATTCATGTTACCATCCTGATATTGCCCTGATCGTGCCTTTTCCTCTTTGAAATTGAAATAAGAAAGATTCAATATCCTAGTGAGAGCCCCTACTCTTCTCTCTCTCCATCTCCTCACCATCAATCTCCCTCTCTTCCCTTTCCTCATTATCCAGCCCTTTTCTCTTCCCTTTCCTTCCTTCCATTATCTCCCCATACACCTCCATCCCTCTTCTAATCCTATCTGCTTCCCATACCCCATTTCCTCGCCTCCTCTACTCTTCTCTACACCCATCCCCCATCCCATCTTCCTCCCCTACCCCCTACCCCCTACCCCATTTTCCTAACTCACCCCACTGAAATTTTCGCATGTCCTATCGTATTATGATTCACAATTGGTTGTATGCTGAAGGGGAAGGAGGTGGAGGGTGAGGAAGAGAATAAAGAGGAGGGGAGGAAGACAGGAGGAAAGGGGAGGGGGAGATAGATAGACGAGAGCAAATATGGAGAGATAAGGGTAGGGGAAGGGGAGATGGAGGAAGAGAGGGGGAAGGGGGGAGAGATGTAGGGAGGGAGGGGTAGATTAGAGGGGGGAGAAGAGGAGGTTAAAATTAATTAATTGTAGGATCCTCTAAATCTTTCTGAAGGTTTAATTCCTTTTTTTTTATGGGAACAATAGAGTTTGGTGGTGTTTTGGAGGTTAAGGAGGTTGTGGAGGTATTTTGAGGAGGGGTTGTGACTCTCTCTCTCTCTCTCTCATTTAACCTGACTGATCTGTTTATCCCGCTTGAGGGAGTTTTTTTTTTTAATAATCTCCAGCCCTTAATTATTCCCTTTAAAATCCCTTAACAAATGTCTTTATGTCTGTAGTGTAATATTTTGTCAAAGAAAAGAAATAATTTTAACTATAATAATTATTTAGCATTGAGCATAATTTTAATGGTTATTTTAAAATTGAGTATTATATTTAAATGGTCGGTTCCTTTATAGGCCTCCTGGTATAATCGTTAATAGGGAGAAATTAAAGTATTATTTTATATGGTATATTAAAGTGTCAAGTATTATAGAGAGTAAAAGACCTGAATTATTCTGAGTCTGGATTAATTATAGGCCCGCTGGTATAATTTTTTTTAATGAGGGGGAACCTAAAGTATTATATCACCTTTAAATTATAGTGCCAGGTGTTGTATCGTGAAGCATTACAGATAGCAGTGGGTGGATGTTCGGCTACCACTGATATTAAAGTATAATTATTCCCTTATTTCTGCTGTGGAGTATTTTGATGTTCTATTAGTTTTTAGAGCATTATAGATTGTCTTTGAGTATCATTACAATATTATTTCTGTGGATGGAAACTTCGGTAGACAATTGGTGTAATAGTTCATTGTTAGAATTCAAGTATGATTTATAGTCTTATTTCTACGGTGGAGTATTATAGAGCTTTATAGTAACGTGTGGGGGTTAAAACCAAGGGTCTGGCCGACAGTGACAGTCAGTATCGTTTATATAAGGGAAGCTGGACACAGGCCCTTCCGCTCTACAGTGACGCTAACTCGAGCACAAGTTTTGATGCTGAGGGAGGAGGAGGAGAGAGGGGAGAGGGGCGAGAAGAAGAGGTGCAGGAAAGTGGGAAGGTTGGATATAGACGAGGAGGAGGAAGGAGAGGGAAGAGAGTGAGAAGGAGAGGTGTTAGGAGGAGGGGTGGTTTTATGGACATGGAGGGTGAGCAGAGTTGGAGGAATAGGGAAGGGAAGGAGGGACGAGGAGGAATAAAGGGACGTATAGGGGAGAGAGAAGGAGGAGGAGGAGGAAGAAGGGAGGGGCAGGAGAACTCGGGAGGGGGAAGGATGGTAAGAGGTTTAGGTAAGATATAGGAAGAACGAGAGAAGGGGAAAGGAGGGAAGTGAGCGTGGAAGAGGAGGAGGATGCGGGTAGGGAGCAGGGCGAGATGGAGGAGGAAGGAAGGATGAAGGGAGGGAGGTAGGCAGGTTTCAGGAGCCGGGTATTGGGGTGGGTGGAGGAGGGTGGTGAGGGACGGTGGGTGGCCAGGAGGGGGAGGGAGGCATAACAAGGCTGCAACACACACCCCACCGCCCACCACTGTTAATATAAACCGTCAGCCCACCGCGCCGTCTTGTAACACCGAGACGAAATGCAAATCATTCAATTTTCCCCCCGCTTCTCAATATTGCATACACAAGCAAACTGCCATCTGGTGCCATCGCGCGCAACTAAAGCCGCGTGCGAATCGTGGCAGCTGACTCCGGATTCCTAGGCTCGTGTTTGCCTATTTTGAGAGAGAGAGAAATGTTAAAAAAAATCATCCTTCCTTCCTATATAACCAAAAACCCAGCTTTTCAATCCCGTGTAAGTAGTTTCGATCGTTTTCCTTGCAGCGGATTCGGCGGTTTAGCGGTAAATTCACTCGGTTATTTGATTCCATCCGGAGAATTCGGACGAAGTGAGAATTACACCTGACGAGTTATATTGGAGATTTGGGACGCCGAGCGCGGGAAATGTTCAGGAGATTCAAGTGTTGGGATATATTGGGGAACATGTGGCGTCGTTTTTCACCACCCAGTTAAAAATGGTTACGAATCTTCCCTCAAAAACTTCTTCATTTTCCTCCCCTCTCCCCCCCTCTCTCCCTACTCCTCTCTTTCACTCTCCGTCTCCCCTTCCCCTCTCTCTCTCTCTCTCACACACTTCGTCTCCCCTTCTCCTCTCTCTCTCTCCTTCACCTCCCCCCTTCTCCCCTCTCTCTTTCTCTCTCTTCTTCACCTCCCCCCCCATTAGCGACATCAGCGGAAGTGAATGAAGAGAAGATAAAGGGAGAAGGAAGAAGGAAGATAAAAATGAGACAGAGAGAGAAGAGGGGAGAACACAAGGAGAATACGGGGAAGTGTGATGGGCTGTGAGTGTTTATTGAGAGAGAGAGAGAGAGAGAGAGAGAGAGAGAGAGAGAGGCTGAGGAGAGGAGGGGAGAAGGGGGGGTCACTGTGATGGAGTGTTGCTCATAGAAAATGGAATATCTAAGACGATTACCAGTGTCTCAATACTCTCACTCTCTCACCTGATACCTCTCCTCATCCCGATTCTCTCATTCATTCTCTCTCACCTGATCCTCTCACTCACTACCACAACACCACCGCACCATACAGCCAGATCATACAATACACTTCACTATACTACCAGATGACACACACACACACACACACACACACACACACACACACACACACACACACACACACACACACACACACCCTCCTCCCCTCCCCATCCTTCCTCCTCCTAGACACACATACATAAACAATAATAGAAATACTAAATAGTAATAGTCGTCGTCCTAGTGGTTAGAAAGGGATAGGTGAGGGGGGGTGGAAATGAGAAAGAGGTAGGGAGGGAGAGATAGGTGGATAAGGAGGGTGGGAGAGGTGTAGGGGTGAAAGCAGGAAGGGAAGGAAGAATAGGTAAGTAGAGAGAAAGAGATGGGATAGACTGGTGGGGGATTAAGAGAGGATAGGAAGGAAGGGAGGATAGGCAGGTAGAGAATGAGAGGAGAGAAAAGATAGGCAGGTAGGGAGAGGAGGGAGGGAGGGAGGGAGGGGAACGGACCCGATAGTTGTAGGCCGGTGGTTAGGTCACTGGGTGTCGGGCCAATGAAAACACGGCTCCCGAGGGGCCATATTTCAACCCGGTTTTCTTCTCCTGATTGTCTTATTTTTCCTCTTATTTGTCTTATTGGTATCTTATTGAATTCTAGTATGCGATATTTATGGTGGGTGATTAGTTAGCCTGACACATCCGCCAATAGGTTTAGCCTGCGGGGAGGAGGAGAGAGGGAGAGGAAGGGGGAGAGTGGGGGAGGAGGGGACATGAGGTGGAGGAGAAGAGGGACAGGGGAGGAAGAGGAGGAGAGGGAGGGCGGGTGGATGGGGGAAGAAGATGAGATAAGGAGAGGTAGGAGAAGACAGAAGGGAAGAGAAAGGGGAGAGGAGAGGAAGGAGGTGGAGAGAGGGACAGGAGGAAGAGGAGAGGGAGTGTAAGATAGAAAGGTAATTTGGATGATACTTAAGGAAGCGGAAGAGCGGGTAGTTGATAGTGGATGATGAAACGGAAGAGGAGGAGGAGGAAGTGAGAAAGATGGATGATACTAAGTGAATGAGTGGGAAGGAAGAAGT